GGGCTAAAATAAAACAAACAAAAATACGTTTACCAGCCGCTGAACAAAGCTGAACTTGAAAACAACCTTTGAACAAGGCTTATAACAAAATGAATATTATAATTCATAGCATCCTGTTGCAGACTCTTTTCTTTTGGTTCCACTAAGGACACTCCAGACTTTGTGGAAATGGAGATATATTATAAATGAATTTGATCAGATTCAGACCCCTGGTCTACAAGATGGTTACTGCAGTATTAGAATACTATAAACTATTTAGAACTCCCATACAAGCCACAGAACGGTGAGGGGGTAATCATGTTACAAAAACCTAAATATGTCCTTGTAGGAATTGTCCCCAAAGCCATCTGGCTTAAGAGGGTCGAGCAAATATAACTCTCTCTTTGCTGGCTTGATCACCTGTCAACCATTGACAAAATAGCTGAAATTAGACATAATCAAACACCAGAAGAAAACCACACAGCACAACTTATGTTCATTTTGTACATGCTGGTGAGATCATTTGGAACAGACTCACGCAAAGCAAATAGTGATCTGCCTTTCCTTGCTGCCGACTCCAGGCAGGGATGAAAACCATGTCCTTGGTGGCCAATTGGTCAGCCTAGTATTTTAAACAAGGGATTTTAAGTTGCTGTATATCAATTTCAAGAAACATAGGTCTCAAGCAACAGGAACTTACTGGAAAACTGGCCAACACGTCAGCTGTTTTGGACTTCCAGGTAGGAACCACATACATATCCACGATGTATATATCTTTGCCCTATATTGATAGTTTTTCAAAAAAAATGAAATCTTCATAGAAGTATGTTCAACAACAAGAGACAACCACACTTCACGAGATTGGAGTTTCACCACTAAACAGCTATTTAGAAAATATGTGTTATTCAAAAGAAAAAAGCAGGCCAATGATGTCTGTTGAAAACCGTACATGTCTTTGGGTGGCTTCTTGTACCATCTTCAGGCACGTGTTTCCAATCTGAAACAGTAACAACAGTAAGTTACCTGTGCCATTTATTTGAGACAAGATGAAGTTGGGAGGAAAGCTCAAGTATACCTACATTTGACTCCATGCACTGAGGAAGACCCAGGCTCCAAAAGTCCTCTCTGGTCAGGCACACATCACCCTCCTTCACAATGACCTCTGCTCCAGGCCTATTGTGGTCTAGCACATAGCTGAGCTGCAAATAACAGATTGCAAAACATACTTCAAGCCAATAGAAAACATAGAAAAATTAAAATCAAAACAATGCACCTCCATCACTGTGCATGAAGTAAACATATATCTACCAGCTTGTCTTGAATCGGATGTAGATCCTTTGCGTATTTCGCACCAGAGAGGGCATACTGGTGGTCAGCAACAGACCCCTCCGAATCCAACTTCGGTTCAGCTGTTATTAGATAGACAAAAAATAAACAGTATTATTGAAGTACCACACATGAAGTATACCTAAAATGTGTCCTTGTATTGATAATCAAAATACCTCTCAACATAGGCCTGATAAAGGGCTTCAGCTGAGACACATTCACACTCTGTCTCAGCTGAGCTCCTGTTGAGCTCAACAGGGTTGCCACACCCTTGTTGGTGATTGAGGAAACCACATAAGGGCCAAACCAGTTGCACTCCAGTTTTCCACCTTTTCGGCCCTCCTTCCTCTTATTCGCTCTTAGGACCTCATCTCCAACGTTAATCAGGAAAGATTTCACATTCTTTCCCTTGCGTTTTTCAAAAGAGATTTTCTGTCTCTGTTGTGCTATTTGGATGTTCTGGTAAATCTGAGAAAGATATGTAACAGTTATCATTTACAGTCCTTAACATACGCTTGCATTTTTTAGGAGTTATTATGTTTTAAATATTGCCATTTTATTCTCACCTTCGAGTGCAAATCTGCAATGGTTGCAGCCTTTGCCTCAAGCTGCTGTTCTGCCTCATCAGCAGGCACCAACACAGAGGTATCATCCCTGTCATTGACTGTAGCATTTATAACACCCGGGACGCGAGGGTGCCTCCCAAACTGGGCAAAATAGGGCGTGCACTTGGTTGACCTCTGAAAGCATAAAAATTCCTTTTAGTATCTCTGTTGAGTATTGTTTCCATCTGCATTTGTTACAACATTGTACCTGCTTTGAGGTGTTAATGCTCGCCACAATGCCCCTCAGATGTAAATCCCAGTCATTCTGGTCCTCTCCACAGTACTTTGCAAGTGCTTTTTTTATGTTTGGGTTTGTACGCTCATCTTGGCCATTGCACTGGGGATGGTACGCTGAAGTGATGCAGTGTTTTACACCCAGTGCATCAAAAACACCACGGTTGACCTGCAGATGGTTTAGTGTACACCAATTACCAAATTACCTGAAAAATCGTATTACATTGTTACACATAACACATACACTGTATTAGATAGATTATTGTACCTCATTGACAAATTCCCGTCCTTGGTCGGTAATGATCTTCTCGACAAGACCGAAATCTCGAAGAATATTCACAATCTTTTTTGAGACCTCAACAGCTGTTTTGTGGTAGAGCGTTTTTGCTACCACCCACTTCGTGAACAGATCAGTCGCTGTTAGAATGTATCTGCAATATAAAATGCAGAATGTTGTAAATACATACAGAATCACTGTAAATGATTTCCTTTCTTTTTAAACCAGATTCTTCACGTTTAGAACCTTTAAAGGAGGTTACACATGCTTCAGCCCATCATGATAGTACCTTTTGCCCTTAGCAGTGGAGGGAAGTGGGCCAATGAGATCCACACCAAGGACAGTCCATGCCTCGGGAACATGAATGGGATGCAGTACGGGTGCAACCGTTTTAATGACCTCGTGTTGCTGGCAGCGGGGACACTCATCAACCTTAGCAAATATCATACATTTTTCAATCAGCAAAACAAAAAACTTTAGGTATAAAAATGATAGAACAGAGAAAACCTTTCAGAGGAGACAGAATTAAACTGTTAAAGTTCTGAAATATGTTTTCTCTGCTCTGATGGAGCTCAAACTGTCTCACTCTGTTTCAATGTACACATACAACACATTTCTGTAGATCAATAATCAGTCAGTCAGTCAAAAACTCCCACCCATTTCTTCACGTCCTCCCGCATAGTGGACCAGTGGTACGTTGCCAAAACCTTCTCGGTGGTGCGCCTTCTCCCTGCATGACCTCCGGAACCCAGGTTATCATGGCACTCCTTCAGGACATTGATAATTTGGTCCTTGGTGCACACAACCATCCTCTCATTGTCCTTGTATGTGTAGTACAAATCTCCAGCTGGCACAACAGGAACAAAAAAACAATCATTTAGACATGTGTAGAGATGACATTATGACTAAAAGCTGTTCAAGAAATCCAGTGGCAAATGTGGTTTAGACGTAACAACTACAGTAATGTAAAGTGTGTATAAAAAGAAAAAGGAGAAACAAGCTGTGGAGTCCTTGCGATTTACTGAAAAATGTTGGAATTGCAATATGATAAACCATTAGAGGTATGATCACTTTTGCACCAAAAAACACCATTAGATAAATAGATAGATAGATATATACTTTATTGATCCCTATAAGTAAAGGGATGTGATGATGTCACATGTACAGGGGGTTTATACCTCATAATAAAAACGTATGTTCGTGACTTAACCATGGTCTTATTCTGTTACTTACCTTTGATCAGGTATTGTTTGGATGCCCTCCGAATTAACGCCTTCCTTTTATCATGCTTTTCAGCGGCGATGGTGAGATTGTGGTAACCACCATTGAGCACGTACTGCTTTATCTCAGCATAAAGCTCTCCATTTCTGTCATGAAAGTTAAAATGTTCGCGGTAATTATGGGGAAGCGGAGGGATCTAGATCGTTCACACATAACAAGCTGTACCGAGTTCCTCCGGCTGCAGTTCCGCAGACGGCCGGTGTGTGGCAGCATAGCGCTGGGAGCAGAGGGAGGTGAGTATATGACGGATATGACGGATGACGGATGCGACGGAAATACACCCGAACATATTTGGTAGGCCGAACATATCTGGTACTGACACCGGGGGAGGTCTCAAAAAGCTCGCCTGAAGTCGGACAGCTACGAGTCGGCTTCTTCTTCTTCATCTTCTTCTTCGCCTTCTTCTTCTTCTTCTCTCGGTTATTTGGCGGATTGCAAACAACTTTAAGCTGCATACCGCCACCTCCGGAGTCGGCTTGACTCGGTTTGCATTTATAAAGAATGCACACATGTGTTTAATCGTTAATGTCAGATATGTACTAAGTCAATACATTTGTTCCTGCTCAAGATTAGATTCAACTTTATTGTTATTGCACATATTACAGGTACTGAGACAACGAAATGCAGTTTAGCTTCTAACCAGGTGCAACAAGCAGTAAAGTGAAAAGTAATGTACACAATCTACAGAATAAAATATATAATGAATTGAATGATGAATAAACAGTGAGGGGTATGAATACACTAGATATACACAGCAGCCTGAGAGCAGTATGAACAGTGTGTATGAATATGCTAAGATATATAAAGTATGAAAACGGTAAGCAGTGCAAGTATAGTATAAAATATATGGATATTAATTTCATTATGATAAAAATTGTGGAACAATGATGAAAAATGTGAATGGATGTGGCGACGTAAAACTGACACAAAACAACAACAACATTTTGCCGAGCCAATTGGAGAGTTTCATCAGCAGCACGGGGTAAAAACCACCAATGAGCGCTCAGCTCGAGATACCAGCGAGTCGTTTCCCATCAAGCATTTCGCTTCCGCAGCCCATGGAGAGGAACTGCGCCGCCTCGCCGCGCCTCGCTCTCAAGGCTGCGGGCGTCTTTGTCCCGCGAGATTTCAACGTCTCATGTAGGCGGGCCTCCAGAGCAAGTCGGACAAAATGACTAACCGTCATGCAACGCACTAGCAAGACGTTGATCGAAACTGCGCAGGTCTCGCTTGTCTCAAACGTCTCAAACAAGCCTCTTATCTCTCTAGGGCTCTGATCAGTAGTACCAGCCACAGCCAATCAGCGCTCAGGAGGCGGGGATACTGCTGTAGAACTGATGTGTAATTTGTAAATTGTGTAATTTTGTAATTCATCTTTTTATTTTAATGCTTCTTAATTAATAGTAAGCTTACTTGCTGTACAAATGTACATTTCTCCTCTGTGGGAGGAATACATGTATTCTTGATTCTGACTACAGCCAACCAGCTGCCAGGAAAATACATCACTAAAGCCATAGCCAATCAGCGCTCAGGGGGCGGGACTACAGCATACCGGTACTACAGCCAACCAACAGCCAAGAGAAAACATCACTACCAGCCACATTCAATCAGCGCTCAGGAGGCGGGACTACAGCATGGTACTACAGCCAACCAGCTGCCGAGAACATACATCACTACAGCCACAGCCAATCAGCGCTCAGGGGGCGGGACTACAGCAGTAGAACCGGTTCCCGTTGCGTATGCGTTTCAACCAACGGCCGCATTTCTAAATAGAATGGCGACGGCTGTCTGCGGTCTGCAGTCCAACGGAAAACCGGGCAAAACACACCGAGAAACCCGCAGGAAAACCAAGGATTCCCGGAGGAGACAAGCGGCTCTATTGTTCCTCAATAATATCTCTCTTGACGGACGGCCGCTGTGGCAGCTCGGCGATGAAAACACGGATCCCACCGCGGCGGAGGAGCAGCAGAGAGACCGGGGAGATACGGAGGTTCCTCTGCCGCCGATCGAGATCCAAGAGCCGGCCAGCGCGGTGACACAACCACCGGTCTCTGGAGGAGGCTCGTCCTCCAGCGTCCCGGGGGTCCTCGGTCCTCCTCCCCGGCCTTCAGGAGGGATGTCTCCGGGGCCAGACGGTGCTAATGAGGTATTTAGAATGTATTTATTTAAGAAGATATGTTCTCTCTGTAGGTCTGAGTCTCTCTCTAAGGCACAATAAATCACTCTATTTACCCCGTTGATAATAACCAGTACAGGCTCGATATGCTCAGATATACTGGGAGCTGTGCTGGTCTTTAACCAGTTCACATCTATTATAGCTTTGATTCCTCCTCACCATATATAACTAGTAGAAGTACTCGTATCTAGTACTAGAGTAAAAGTAGAAGTACTCAGATCTTGTTTTTGAGTAAAAGTAGAAGTACTCAGATCTTGTTCTTGAGTAAAAGTAGAAGTACTCAGATCTTGTTCTTGAGTAAAAGTAGAAGTACTCAGATCTTGTTCTTGAGTAAAAGTAGAAGTACTCAGATCTGGTACTTGAGTAAAAGTAGAAGTACTCAGATCTTGTTCTTGAGTAAAAGTAGAAGTACTCAGATCTTGTACTTGAGTAAAAGCAGAAGTACTCAGATCTTGTACTTGAGTAAAAGTAGAAGTACTCAGATCTTGTACTTGAGTAAAAGTAGAAGTACTCAGGTCTTGTACTTGAGTAAAAGTAGAAGTACCAGAGTGTAGGAATACTCTGTTTCAGTAAAAGTCCTGCATTCAAAATGTTCCTCAAGTGAAAGTAGAAAAGTATTATCATCTAAATATAGTGAAAGTAGCGACAGTAAAAGTAGTCGTTGTGCAGATTGGTCCATTTCAGAATAATATATATGATATGTTTTATAATGATTGATCATGAAAGTGTTCTCAAAGCTGGTAAAGGTGCAGCTAGTTTGAATGGCTTTGTATACTGCAGGGTAGCTGGAGGATTTACTCCAGGTGGAACTAAAGATTTAACACTTGATTAGATTTCACATCATTCATCCACATCTGTAAAGTAACTAAAGGTATTAAATACATGTAGAGGAGTAGAAGTACACCATGTACCTCTGAACTGTAGTGGAGTAGAAGTACACCATGTACCTCTGAACTGTAGAGGAGTAGAAGTACACCATGTACCTCTGAACTGTAGAGGAGTAGAAGTACACCATGTACCTCTGAACTGTAGAGGAGTAGAAGTACACAGTGAACTACAGTTTCATGTTTCAGGTTAAACACACAGGTAGTTTTGATTGCCTTTTTGTTCATAATGTCTTTGCACTTCAGGTGTTCCTGGAGTTTGGCGGAGTGGGTGACCCTCTGACCCCCGACCCCCCCCTGTCCCCTCCTCCCGGGCACCAACCCTGCTCCCGGGTCAGATCCACGCCCGCTGCCCTGAGCCCGGCTCTGGACCCCCGGCAGAGGTGAGAGGCGAAACGGGCCTTTTAAAGGTCTCCTACCTTTAGGCAGATATGATAGATCTCAGGTTGTATACAATGTGATGAAAATAAGACATACTTTTTGTTGGAGTCAAGCTTATTGCAACTTGTGGATTTATCGATTTTTGGATAAGACGGAACCACGCAGCCCATCATGTCGATGATGGATTTTCACCCTCCGTCTGAAACCAGAGCCCAGGCTTAGGGGCTTATGCTGCGTTCACACCGGACGCGATGCGATGTTTGGGGGCGGCGCGATTACATGTAAAGTCAATGCAGACAGACGCGAATTCGCTCCGACGGCGAGCATGAAGCGGTGGACGCAGCACGAATCACGCGATTGAACTCTGCCGCGTCAAACGCGAGAGTTCTCGCGGAAGCCAATCAGCGGTGAGGATCTCAGCCTGCCGTCACTGACGTTCAACCAGAAAATATTAGCTGTTAGCACTCAGAGCTCACAGCTCCTCATATCTGTTCAGAAACTAGACAGAAGTTAAACCGCAGACTGTCTGTGTCATGGATAATACAGTCGCTGGTTTATTTATGTCTGTATAGGCCGTTGTTGTGAGTGTGGACGGTCGGAGCATATATAACGTTAGCTTAGCCAAGCTACATTCAGAAAACACGCATTTTAAAGGTTTTTCTCTGCCGTCTGTCTGCAGACTTGTCAAAGCATTAATTCATGGTTTTTACTAACCGGTATCAGTATGTTGTTACTTCGGCATCATTTTGAAACGTGTATGACAATTTAATCACAGTAAAATATGTTCGTCTTGTTGTAGTTGTAGCCCCCTTGCCAGCGCGTCTTGTTTGAATGATGCGAGTAAACACAGCTGGCAGCCGCGGTGAAACTCGAGCGATTAGAGCGAAGCGAATATTCGCATCGCGTCCGGTGTGAACGCAGCATTAGAGATGCCCCGCCCCCTTAGCTTATATAAAATGTGTTGGAGCACTAGCCAATAGGAGTGCGAGTATTATGTAGTGACGTCACTATGTCCCGGAAGTAAACAAACAGTGGAGGGAACGCAGGGATTTTAGCCCTTGCAGACCGTTTACATGCACTAACACGTGTAGAACAAAAATGAGAATCAGAATACCGTTTACATCTGTGACAATTACACCATTTACTAAATGCACACCCTGCAGCAGCTCTGAGGGTCGAGCAGCCAGGTGTGTAGCTCAGTTGAAAAGGACCTCTTTAATATTTCATGTTTGTCTTCAGGTTGAGGAACGTCTCTGGCTCTCCTGGACCCAAAGTGCCAAAGAAGGTCCACTTCATCAAGAGCATGAGGCAGTACGACACCCGGGGCTGCAGGTGAGTCTCTGCTTCACATAGACGCAACACACACATCCACACACTGCACACATCTACACACACATCTACACACTGCACAATACAGGAAGCCGTGTCACGAGTGGCTGCAGACGTTTCCTGTCAGAGAGAAACAAACAGAATCTGCAGCTTTGCTCAAATCAGAAATGTAGGATGTGGAAGGTAACACCGTGGCTGTTCAGCCCCCTGCTGTTCAGCCCTGTGCTGTTCAGCCCCCTGCTGTTCAGCCCCGTGGAGCCGGGACAGAAAACAGCTGTTAGTCCGGGTTCTCCTCTGACTCTGAACTCTGCGTTATTTCACTGTGTGTTTCTCATCCTTCCTCCACGTGTGTGAGTGCTCACTCCCTTCACCTCCACCTACGTGTGTGAGTGCTCACTCCCTCCACCTACCTGTGTGAGTGCTCACTCCCTCCACCTACCTGTGTGAGTGCTCACTCCCTCCACCTACCTGTGTGAGTGCTCACTCCCTCCACCTACCTGTGTGAGTGCTCACTCCCTCCACCTCCACCTACCTGTGTGAGTGCTCACTCCCTCCACCTACCTGTGTGAGTGCTCACTCCCTCCACCTACCTGTGTGAGTGCTCACTCCCTCCACCTACCTGTGTGAGTGCTCACTCCCTCCACCTCCACCTACCTGTGTGAGTGCTCACTCCCTCCACCTCCACCTACCTGTGTGAGTACGGGTCCAGGCTGCAGCCAGAGGATGATCTGTGTTTAGTCCTATCTACATTGCGTCCCCGCATCACCCGCCTGTGCGCCTCAAAGACGCAGACTCATCGTTCCCACTAAAGTAGGGCTGAGTGCAGCGGCGGACTGGCCATCTGTGTGTTCTGGAGAATCACAGAACGGCCGGTATCTCTCCGAGATGGGCGTCTGATTTCTCTAAACATATACTAACTTCTACTCTTCTGCATCTCTAAAGAGAGTCTGTGATCCTGACATTAAATCAGACTGCAGATACTTTATTAGTTTTCTCACAGCAGCAGAGAGTTAACAGATATGACACATAAGTAATACATAGCATCACATAAGAGGTAAAGTGGAGACGGTGTTGCTCAGCTTTGGTAATAACAAGTCAGATCTGCGTAGAAGAGGCTGCAGAGCTGTTGGTACCAGCGTAGAGTAACTGTTGACATTAATACTGCGCATCGGGAGGAAGTACTTTGGCTGTTGTATAGATAGTACTGTGTGCAGGAGCTGAGTGTGTGTGCAGGAGCTGAGTGTGTGCAGGAGCTGAGTGTGTGTGCAGGAGCTGAGTGTGTGCAGGAGCTGAGTGTGTGTGCAGGAGCTGAGTGTGTGTGCAGGAGCTGAGTGTGTGTGCAGGAGCTGAGTGTGTGCAGGAGCTGAGTGTGTGTGCAGGAGCTGAGTGTGTGTGCAGGAGCTGAGTGTGTGTGCAGGAGCTGAGTGTGTGTGCAGGAGCTGAGTGTGTGCAGGAGCTGAGTGTGTGTGCAGGAGCTGAGTGTGTGCAGGAGCTGAGTGTGTGTGCAGGAGCTGAGTGTGTGCAGGAGCTGAGTGTGTGTGGTTGCAGGAGCTGAGGGTGTGTGTGCAGGAGCTGAGTGTGTGCAGGAGCTGAGTGTGTGTGCAGGAGCTGAGTGTGTGCAGGAGCTGAGTGTGTGCAGGAGCTGAGTGTGTGTGCAGGAGCTGAGTGTGTGCAGGAGCTGTGTGTGTGCAGGAGCTCAGTGTGTGTGCAGGAGCTGAGTGTGTGCAGGAGCTGAGTGTGTGTGCAGGAGCTGAGTGTGTGTGCAGGAGCTGAGTGTGTGCAGGAGCTGAGTGTGTGCAGGAGCTGAGTGTGTGCAGGAGCTGAGTGTGTGCAGGAGCTGAGTGTGTGTGCAGGAGCTGAGTGTGTGCAGGAGCTGAGTGTGTGTGCAGGAGCTGAGTGTGTGCAGGAGCTGAGTGGTGTGTGCAGGAGCTGAGTGTGTGCAGGAGCTGAGTGTGTGTGCAGGAGCTGAGTGTGTGTGCAGGAGCTGCAGTGTGTGTGCAGAGCTGAGTGGTGGTGTGCAGGAGCTGAGTGTGTGCAGGAGCTGAGTGTGTGCAGGAGCTGAGTGTGTGTGCAGGAGCTGAGTGTGTGTGCAGGAGCTGAGTGTGTGTGCAGGAGCTGAGTGTGTGCAGGAGCTGAGTGTGTGTGCAGGAGCTGAGTGTGTGTGCAGGAGCTGAGTGTGTGCAGGAGCTGAGTGTGTGTGCAGGAGCTGAGTGTGTGTGCAGGAGCTGAGTGTGTGTGCAGGAGCTGAGTGTGTGTGCAGGAGCTCAGTGTGTGTGCAGGAGCTGAGTGTGTGTGCAGGAGCTGAGTGTGTGTGCAGGAGCTGAGTGTGTGTGCAGGAGCTCAGTGTGTGCAGGAGCTGAGTGTGTGTGCAGGAGCTCAGTGTGTGTGCAGGAGCTGTTATATGGTGGGAACAGGAGATTACTGTACTTATTGTTCTGTAATATGTATATATTATATACATAGTACAGGGTACGGTAGCTGTTGCTCGTAGACTTAGTACATCGATACGCAGTGAGTACAGTATTTAGTGGTTGTTACAGGGAGTACATCACAGTAGCTGTTTCCTGTCCACTGCTGACTGTGTGTGTGTGTGTGTGTGTGTGTGTTGCAGGATCGTGCTGATTTGTGCCAAGCGGTCGCTTTACGCCGCTTTCTCAGTGCTGCCGTACGGAGAGAGTCACCTCAGGTACAGACAGCACAGCACACACACACATCCCCATCACACACACCGTCACCTTTATGTTCTCATCCTCCTCATCACTCTCGGGGGGGGGCAGTGTGTGAGGTTAGGGTGATATTAAAGGTCTCCTATTGTGCTATTTTTAGTCATATATTATAGGTCTCAGGTCCTGCTTCTTCACACACACTCTCTCCAGCACAGGTTAGCTCTGAGTGTTAGCATGCTAATGTAAACACAGACCATATTAGGTCCAGAACACGTCTCATTGTTTCTGACAGCAACGTTTCTGATTGGCCCGTGGGGGTAAAGCCCGCCCACATTTGAGTAATGTGGTCACGCCTCAGCAAATCTGGATCAGCTCCGTTGATTTGGGGGAAAAGTCAGGATTTGGAGATTTTGAAGAAAAAGTCAGAATTTGGAGATTTTGAGGAAAAAGTCGGAATTTGGAGATTTTGAGGAAAAAGTCAGGATTTGGAGATTTTGAGGAAAAAGTCAGGATTTGGAGATTTTGAGGAAAAAGTCAGGATTTGGAGATTTTGAGGAAAAAGTCAGGATTTGGAGATTTTGAGGAAAAAGTCAGGATTTGGAGATTTTGAGGTAAAAGTCAGGATTTGGAGATTTTGAGGTAAAAGTCAGGATTTTGAGGAAAAAGACAGAATTTGGAGATTTTGAGGAAAAAGACAGAATTTGGAGAACATGGTTTTGTTTTCCGACACTTTGAGAGTCTCCTGACACGCCGGCAGGGGACACATGTTGATGTTGAGAAGACATCACAAAGTGCATTTTGTATGATAGGAGAGCTTTAACACAGTGTTTCTCCTGCAGTGATGCTAAGCTGGAGGCTCACAGGCAGAGGCTCTCGTCTGTAGTGGCTGCCGACCTGCTGCCGTCGCTGGAGGGCGTCGAGCTGGGAGACCTGGGGAAGGTACGTGCAGACCAGAAACATACCAGAGGGTGTTGTAGATATTTAATTGCTCTTTTTACTGCTCTGTTAGTGTACACTTTTATTATGTGTTGACTGTATCTTCGTAACTCTGGCACAACAATTTCCTTCTGGATAAATAAAGTCTCATCTTATCTAACGTACATCAGATCTGACATTTAACTGGTGCACAAATCATAGGATCCTTTATCTCTGATGTGAGGGTCACAATTCATATTCACTGTCCAGGACATGGCTGGGCTTTATATCAAATGTTTTTTTACACAGACTCTAGGGCTGCATCATAATCTCGATTATTTGGGTCAATAATTGTAATTGCGATTTTTAAATGCGATTATTCATTGACTTTGAAAACATTGGAGAAAAAAAATGTGAACAGTATGTTTTTAACAGTTGATTTCCCTGAACGTTAAGTTTAATTCAACTGAAAAAATAAGTAATAATACAAAAATAATCGTTTTATTTCGATTACGTTGTTTTCGTAATCGTTGCAAGCCGTAATCGCGATTAAAATACGATTAATTGAACAGCCCTAACACACTCTCTCTAATACAGGTTAGCTCCGAGTGTTAGCATGCTAATATGAACACAGACCATATTACTTCCAGAACACGTCTCATTTTTTCTGACAGCAACGTTTCTGATTGGCCCGTGGGTCTAAAGCCCGCCCACATTTCAGTAATGTCGTCATGACGCAGCAAATCTGGATCAGCTCCGTTGTTCCCCGTTTTTAGAGATGTGGGTACGGAGGAAAAGAGAGAGGGGTTTGTTTCCTGACACTTTGAGTGTCGGGGACACACCGGGGACACAGGGGACACAGTGATGTAGTACAAATACATAAAAAAGTGACTTTCGCATGATCGGAAACCTTTAAGATAACAACAATCTGAACTCTTCTCATCTCTCTCTCTATCTCTCTCTCTCTCTCTCTCTCTATCTCTCTCTCTCTCTCTCTCTCTCTCTCTCTCTCTCTCTCTATCTCTCTCTCCTCTCTCTCTCTCTCTCTCTCCAGACGGTGTCGTACGCCCAGTTCCTGTTCCCCACCAACGCCCTGGTGAGGCTGAAGAGTGGGGGGGCGCTGGACACTGCTCAGACCCCCCAGTCCCGTTTCCGAGGCAACGGGCAGAGGACCTTCACCCCCGCCCGCCTGAACAACAGCGTGGCACCAGAGCCCAGTACGTCTTTATCACACACACACACACACACACACACACACACACACACACACACACACACACACACACACACATACACATACACATACACACACACACACACACACACACACACACACCACACACACTGCCCCTCAGGTATATTTAGTAGTGCTGGGGGGAAACGATTATTTTGAAAACGATTAATCGGGCGATTATTTGATCGATTAGTCGACTAATCTAACGATTATTTTTCTGTTGTTCAATTCATAAAAACGTAATGTAAAAAAAACGTAATGTAAAACAATTTTTTTTCACGATACTGTGTCTCAGGGGATCTTAATATTTAAGAACCTATTAATGTGTTATACCAGATTAACGGAAATAATCTCAGCTAACTGACGATACAAACCATGTTTACCAAAACAAAACACAAGTCTCATAAGAAGCATCTAAATGACCCCTGAGCGAAAAATGCTAACGGACATTGGCACAGAACTCAAGATAAAAGTACCCTTATTACTTATCGTAGCTGCACATACAAGATATCCGATTAAAGCTGAGACTCCACAGATTATGTAGGTACATAGTATCATCACTGAGTGATCCGGACTCGCGACAGGGGAAGCAAATACAGTCATCACAACACGTACCTTCACAGAGCTTCTCGGGAGATCGTCTCACCACCGTAGCTGTCAATCTGATCAAAAGACGTGTTCAATGGCATTCAAATGAGAAAAAACGCGGCTGAATCGGTTAATCCATAGGTTTTTAACGTCTATGTATAAAAAAATGATTGAATTTATAATCCATAATTCCATTTTATGTAAAAAATCGGAGAGCAAATGTTAGCTGCTAATGGTAGCCACCACAGCTAGCTGCTGCTTCTGCTAGGCTATGCAGCAGTCTCAGTGAGATATAAATTAGGGCCGGGACTCGATTAAAAAAATTAATCTAATTAATTAGATGCTTTGTAATTAATTAATCGAAATTAATCGCATTTTTAATCACATATAAATATTTGACCTAAGAACAGTGAGAAGCAATTTTTTTCACATGGATTTTAGTATACCATTAGGCGCATTCACACCGCAGTACTTTTCCCACAAAGGTTCATGAGAACTTAGTTCATGAGAACTCTTTGAACCTGGGGGTGGATTAGGCAAATGAAGCCGCTGACGTCACTTCTTCTTCTTCTGCTTTGGGTTTACTGGCAGGCCGCAAACCACTTCACGGCGTATACTGCCGCCCAAAGTCCCCGGCCGGAAGTCCCCGGAGTTGGGGACTGGCTTCAGTAGAAGCTGCTGGGAGTCCCAGCAGCCTTCCGAGTAAATCGCCAGAACGCCGACACCTCCTTATCTCCACCGCTCCCATGTTTTATTTTGTGTTGCCATAAGTTAGTCTCTCTGCGTTTCTGCGCTGGGCTAATGCTAATAATGCTAATAATGCTAATGCGAGGATAATAAAATGGCGGCTTCACAAAACTTTTTGGGAGTTTTACGGGGCGTGGTTTGCAATCCGCCCAGCCAATCAGAAATATAGCTCTTTTCTCACAAGAGAGCCGTACGAAAGTCCCTGCTCTCTAGCAGCTCTCTGCTCTCTAGCAGGGACTTTCGTGGGGGTAAAAAGGTTCTCATTAACTAATTTTAGTACCGGCTCTTTTTGGTGTGAACGCGATAAAAGAGGCTAACGTCCACGCTAGTTGCTATATGTTTTGCATTGAGGTGATACTTGAGGCTTGATGTGCTGCGATGGTATGCGAATTCCTTTTTGCATAATTTGCACACAACCGTGCTCTTATCGACGCTTCCATCCGTCCGTTTTTTAAAATAACATTTCCCACTGTTGTTCACTGTGGTTTGTTGTTGTCTGAAGTCATGAACGTTAGTTGGTGCTCCAGTATAATCGGTACGCCTGAAACTCATCCAGTGAGAAACGTTCCGCGGTGCAAAAATAAGTGCGATTAAAATGCGTTAATTTTTTTAACGCGTTAATTTTTGTGTAATTAATTAATCTTAATTAACGCGTTAAAGTCCCGGCCCTAATATAAATATATAAATATCTTTGCGTTTTGGACTAACTTTAAAATATTCCCATGCTTTTGAAGACCTAGGGCGAGATGTTTTCGTTTGGGGGCTTCGTGCGCAATCCTGTGAGGAGGAGGTGGTAGCCGTTTCAGTCTCCATTGTGTTTGAAGTGCGATTGCGAACTGCTTGTTGCTTTGGGTGACCCACGTGTGTGTAGCGACGTGTCGACGCGGAAATATGTCGTCGACGATATTTTGAAGTCGACGCGTCGCTACAGCACTAATATTTAGCTTGCATTATGATATGATGTGATATGAATAATAATGGAACACATCAACGTCTGCACTCACAGTGACTGTACTTAATGTTACTCTGATCCGGTTACTTGTGTTGTGGCAGATATTTAATTAAGCTTTCTTAACGCTAATGTTATAATAGTCAGATTGCTCTGAAGATGGAGGTGATATTCTATTAATGTTCACGTTCACACAGTCGGTGAACTCCGCACACTGAGCTCTGATTGGTCAGCAGGCGGTGCTTTCACTGAGTTGAGCTCTTAGCCTGCAACCTAACCTGCTCCGGGGCAGGTTAGCCGCTAAGCATCAGTTACCATGGAGATCTAGCCTGCTAAAAAGAGAACCAGCTTCGGAGGACCGGAAACCCATAGTTAACCTGAAGTTAGCCGCTAAGAGAACATCCGGCTTCGTAGTACAGGCCTCGTGTGTGTGTGTGTGTGTGTGTGTGTGTGTGTGTGTGTGTGTGTGTGTGTGTGTGTGTGTGTGTGTGTGTGTGTGGTGTGTGTGTGTGTGTGTGTGTGTGTGTGTGTGTGTGTGTGTGGTGTGTGTGTGTGTGTGTGTGTGTGTGTGTGTGTGTGTGTGTGTGTGTGTGTGTGTGTGTGTGTGTGTGTGTGTGTGTGTGTGTGTGTGTGTGTGTGTGTGTGTGTGTGTGTGTGTGTGTGTGTGTGTGCTTCCGGTGTATTAACTGTGTGTGTAGGTGTATTAACTGTGTGTGTGTGTAGGTGTATTAACTGTGTGTGTGTGTGTGCAGGTGTGGAGGAGGTGGTGGAGTACGACCCCAACCTGCTCAGTGACCCTCAGTGGCCGTGTGGCCGACACAAGAGGGTCCTGATCTTCGCTTCATACGTGGTGAGAGATCGCTCCTTTCTCTAAGTGTGATTACGTGCAGGTAAATAATCAACAAGGACAGATTATTCACTAAGCTCTTAAAGACGATGTGAAGAGAAACACCTAGAGCTGAAGAATCCATTAGTCTTTGGACACAAAAATAACCAGTTGCTATTTTGGAAAAGCTATTATTGATTTGGAGGAAAACACAGTGTAGCTGCAGGTCTTAGAAAGCCTTACACATACCTGCGTGCATACCTGCAACACAGGACTTTCTGTTCTTATTGTGTGTAAGATATTCAGGACAGGGCTGTTTTCATTTGACCTGTGAAACGATGGACTGTTGGAGATACGTCCCGCTGACATGCTGCAGAGTGGACCCTCTCACGGCCACTCTGCAGTCTGTGTCCAGCCTCAGGGTCCTTGGTAACCGTTATAAGTCTGCAGCGCTGTCCTTCAGACTGACTCCTCTCTGCTCTCTGCAGACGACCATCGTGGAGTACGTGAAGCCTTCAGACCTGAAGAGGAACATGAACGAGATGTTCAGAGAGAAGTTTCCTCACATCAAGCTGACGCTCAGCAAGATACGAAGGTACACACACATCTTAATATTTCACATCACTGAGGAAACTACAAAACAAGACATTACTTGTAAATCAATAAAGTGTACGTTCATGTTTGTAGTTATTTGTGGAGTTTGTTGGTGTGTTTGTTTTAAGACGACACGTGGATCTTTGGATCGGTTCACAGAAACATTGAGGAGAGAAATCTACATGTATAGAAACATTTTACAGCCTGAACCCCACGAGTTCTCCAGATACGACTAACCCCTCTCTCTCTCCCTCAGTCTGAAGCGGGAGATGCGAGCGATGAGTGAGGACTGCGGCCTGCAGCCGGTCACCGTCGCCATGTCCTTCGTTTACTTTGAGAAGCTGGTGCTGCAGGGCCGCCTCAACAAGCAGAACAGGAAGCTGGTGGCGGCGACCTGCGTCCTGCTGGCAGCCAAGATCAGCAGCGACCTGCGGAAGCCTGAGGTCAAACAGCTGATCGACGTGAGGACACACACACACACACACACATAGACCGAGCAGTGAGGAAACACACAACAACACACACAGAGCCACAAAGAACACACAAAAAAGCTTGTCTTGTATTTTATTGAGAAATTCCCCAAAAGGATGTAAAACAATTAAATCAATAAAAACACAATAAGTCAAATCCTCATTATTCAATAGCATCAAACTGTGTGTGTGTGTGTGTGTGTGTGTGTGTGTGTGTGTGTGTGTGTGTGTGTGTGTGTGTGTGTGTGTGTGTGTGTGTGTGTGTGTGTGTGTGTGTGTGTGTGTGTGTGTGTGTGTGTGTGTGTGTGTGTGTGTGTGTGTGTGTGTGTGTGTGTGTGTGTGTGTGTGTGTGTGTGTGTGTGTGTGTGTGTGTGTGTGTGTGTGTGTGTGTGTGTGTGTGTGTGTGTGTGTGTGTGTGTGTGTGTGTGTGTGTGTGTGTGTGTGTGTGTGTGTGTGTGTGTGTGTCCTCGTCCTCGTCCTCTTTAACCTCCCCTCTCCCCCGTCTGGAGCAGAAGCTGGAGGAGCGGTTCCGGATCAACCGGCGGGAGCTGATCCCTCTGGAGTTCCCCGTGCTCGTGGCTCTGGAGATGGGCCTGTATCTCCCCGAGAGCAAAGTCATGCCCCACTACCGCAGACTGGTGCAGCAGGGCTAGAGAGAGAGAGAGAGAGAGTGTATGTGTGAGGGGGGGGTAGACCAGCAGAGAGAGAGAAAGGGGGAGAGAGAGAGAGTGTGTGTGAGGGGGGGGGGGGTAGACCAGCAGAGAGAGAGAAAGGGGGAGAGAGAGAGAGTGTGTGAGGGGGGGGGGGGTAGACCAGCAGAGAGAGAGAAAGGGGGAGCGAGAGAGAGAGTGTGTGTGTGTGTGTGCGTGTGCGGGGGTAGTCCAGCAGAAAGAGTGGGTCGACCAGTTAATAAGCTCTGGTGTTTGAAACTATAACTCTGGTACTATTTATTTCCTGTAAATGAAGGGTAGTTTACACTCGTGTGTTTGTCTCTGACTCTGTGTGTGTCTGTCTGTGTCTCAGTGTGTGTGTGTGTCTCTCTGTCTCAGTGTGTGTGTGCATGTCTCAGTGTGTGTGTGTGTCTCTCTGTCTCTGTGTGTGTGTGCATGTCTCAGTGTATGTGTGTGTCTCTGTGTGTGTGTATTCATGCCCTCTATGTTAGAGATGTGCAGCGAGCACGTTAATTGTGCTTTTATCTTGGTGTCCAGTGACCCGGTTCCTTTTGGTACGTCCTTGTATTCTCAATGTACGGAAGCCCAGAGGGGTCAAACGATAATGTGGTGATCCGTCCTGCACCTTCCTCACTTCTATACGCAGCCTGTATAGGGTGCATTACGAACTACAAAGAACCATACTGTTGATTTTTGTAAATGCCTTTTCTTTAAAACTCACTGTGAAGTGTTTTTAGCCATTTTACTGAAACATGATACTGTAGAGGTTTGCCTCTTATTTAAGAAGTGGCCTTTTTAATTTATGTATTTTATTGTGTGTGCATCAATAATCCTGCCACTTTCATGTATTGATCCGGTGGCAGCTGTGTCCCGACTGTGGAGGCGTATTTATTAGTCATTTTTTATATATTATCAAGAAACACTGGAATGTATTCCTCTGTATTTTTCAGTTCTCAGGAATTTTACTTTCTAATCTTTAACAGCTGATGAGATCGAACCCAAAGAGACGTCTGAGTGTCACTCACATGTGGTCAATGGACGGTAACTGACTGTACTGCTGTCACACATTTAGCTGTTTGTTTATGGGTAAAAAAAAGTGCCTGAAATCATCATATATATTTAACGTTGACATTTCAGAGTCCTGCTGCTGTTCACATGTTTAAATGTTGAGGTTGTTGTTGTCGTCCGGGAAAAATAATCACAAGTTGTACTTTGACTGTGCTACGATAACCGTCCGAACAGATCTGTACCTGCACATGTTGTACTTGTATGGTTTAAATGGGTGAATATTCATTGTTTTTCTTACGGTAAAATGAATGTTTTTTCAAATATATTTTCAGAGTTTGAAAAATTCATGCAGCGCTTCTGTTTTTTGACTCAATCATTCATGAAGCTGTAAATCTCCTCGAAGCGGAACAGGTAATATATAGAGTCCACAGTAAGTCATTAATACTATGTTGTCGAATATTAAACAAGAAACTACATAGTAAAGTACGTCGAATATTAAAAACACGACATAGTCGAATGTAACCCCTGATTACTAAGACATTATGAGACCCCTTTCACTTGTTTTAAGGCTTTGCAATAAATACACAGACTGATATAAATAATTTATTTGTTTTATTAATAATTAATTACAAAAATAATAATTAGAAACTAAAATAGTCACTAGATTGAATAGAATATTGAGATTTAGACGTTTTAGACGATTCTTCATGTAAGCCTAGAAACTAGTGTGATTCGTTAAATCATCTGTCATTCTAAACCAGTGGCGAGCCTCTGAGGGCCTAAGATATTCTAAAAAATAATATTTTTTTAGTTATATTTCTCATTAGTTTTACCAAAATAACTTGATTTAGTTGTATTTAAAATAACATTTCCAAAGAAATAAATCCTTCGAATCTGCCTGTTCAGTTTCTGTTGGAATGTGAAGGGTTAAATGAAAGAAGCTCGTCTCTGCGAGTATAAAATAGATAGCTATAAACTATAGATATAAGATAACTTTAACAAGATGCCTGTGTGCTTAGTACCAGGTTGTTATCATACCAGCAATAGGCGCATTCACACCGAAGTACTTTTCCCACAAAGGTTCATCAGAACTTAGTTCATGAGAACTCTTTAGTTCTCATGAACTAAGTACAGATCGCGTTCACACCGGAATAAATCCCTGGGGGAGGATTAGGCAAATGAAGCCGCTGACGTCACTTCTTCTGTTTTGGACTTTTTCTCCCACGAAAGTAACTAGGCCTACTCTCTAGCAGGGACGGAAGGGGATGAAAAGGTTCTCATGAACTAATTTGAGTTCCGGCTCTTTTTGGTGTGAACGCAACATTTCGGAACTAAAGTGGGAAAAGTACTGCAGTGTGAACGCGCCGCAACAAGATGCCTGTGTGCTTAGTACCAGGTTGTTATCATACCAGCAATAGGCGCATTCACACCGCAGTACTTTTCCCACAAAGGTTCATGAGAATTTAGTTAATGAGAACTCTTTAGTTCTCATGAACCGCGTTCACACCGGAATAAGTCCCTGGGGTGGATTAGGCAAATGAAGCCGCTGACGTCACTTCTTCTTCTTTGGGTTTACTGGCAGGCCGCAAACCAGTTCACGGCGTATACTGCCGCCCAAAGTTCCCAGAGTTGGGACTGGCTTCAGTGGAAGCTGCTACTGAAGCCTTCCGAGTAAATCGCCAGAACACCGACATCTCCTCATCTCCACCGCTCCCATGTTTTATTTTGTGTTGCCATAAATTAGTCTCTCTGCGTTTCTGCGCTGGGCTAATGCTAATGCTAATAATGCTAATGCGAGGATAATAAAATGGCGGCTTCACAACACTTTTTGGGAGTTTTACGGGGCGTGGTTTGCAATCCGCCCAGCCAATCAGAAATATAGCTATTTTCTCACAAAAGAGCCGCTCGAAAGTCCCTGCTCTCTAGCAGCTCTCTAGCAGGGACTTTCGAGGGGGTAAAAAGGTTCTCATGAACTAATTTTAGTACCGGCTCTTTTTGGTGTGAACGCGATAAAAGAGTTCTCATGAACTAAGTTCGCATGAACCTTTGTGGGAAAAGTACCGCGGTGTGAATGCGCCTATTGCTGGTATGATAACAACCTGGTACTAAGCACACGGGCATCTTGTTGCGGCTCGTTAATGGGTCTTGCTCGTTCTTTCGCTTCCCGTCTGATGAAAGGACCAGGAGTGGCTGGATCAAGTTAGCTACCTAGCTAGTAGCTAGCACGTTAGTTAGCATTACAGCCTTGTCATTTTTATTAGCCTTAACATGAAGTGACATTAAGTAACCCACAATGTTAAACAGTAAGAGTAGTAGTCATATTTCGTGAACCCTTTGAAGAGTACTGTCACCGGTGAGATCATTCTATAATACACAATTTAAGCCCGGGGGAGAAATGCTAACACTAACGCTATATTAGCATCGGCGAACTGTTCTACTTCATGCTATCTGCACAAATGGTTTACATTAAGATCAGGCAGTTCAGAGAGAATCAAAGGAAGGCAGGCAGCTTTGTATGACATTCTTCTGGACGTGTTTCATTGTGGTGATAGTGAGGGTAGTGAATCGTTTTGTTGACAAGACAGTAGTGACGGCCATCTTGGTGACGTGTGTTGTTGTGGGAGACCAGGGTTGCGTTCGGATAGTTTACAAATCAGCTCCTAAATTCTAACCCTATCTCCTATTCCTTGACCTCTGAGTGAAACGTGACGGGGTTAAGGTATAGTGGATAGGAGAATTCAAAAGGATTTAGGAGAAGAGACTGCGGTACTTTAGAGAATCCGAATGCACTTTCACTATCCGACGTGTTTATGATGCGCCAGCGGACGTCATTGTGTGCGTCTGCTGCTGTGGGGAAACTATGGAAACTACAGTTTTCTATACAGCGGACTTCAACATGTGTATAACAGTGGCGGCTGGTGGAAAATATTTTTGGTGGGGCTATGGAAATAGGGACCAAACCATACTAAGGCGGTCCGGGGGGATTCTCCCCCGGAAGAAATGTTGGTTTAAAAATATGAGATAATCCATAATCTGAGTGTGAATCTTCCAAAACTGTGCAACAGTACAGTCGGCCCACACAAACTGCAGAACACTGGTGCTTTGGGAACACTCAAATGATTTAATTCCCATTTAAAATCAGGAAATACGAACATTATGTGTGTGTGTGTGTCATACTTGCCAACCCTCCCGATTTTCGCGGGAGACTCCCGATTTCATTGCCCTCTCCCTGGTTTCCTCCCGGGGTCATATTTCTCCCGATTTCTGACAAAATCTGATTTACTCACGACTGTTTCCACTCGGACTTTAATACAGCTACACCATTGTTTGGTTTCCATGGTAGCACGTCTCTTTAGCAGCGCGCGCAACTCAAAGTTTGAGAGGGTGAGGAAGATGACAAACAAGAATCAACAACTCCACCCTCTGCTCACTCCTTTCCTGTAAAATACAGGTCCAGCCCACACATATGCTCCATGGTGCTACAGGCATTGCCCTTACAACTACAATAAGCATGTAAATGTTAATCTACAGCTCCGGCGATCCACTAGCACCGGAGTCTCCACCTGCAGACAACTACTGTAGCGTCACCTTGGATACGAGTCCAAACAACTCACAGACACACAGGCCAGGGCCAGAGTTCCCGTTAGAATATTTTTTCGCCGGTCAACATGTCCGTTAAAGTTAAATCTTCCGGACAAAATGAGAAAAGTGCCGGTCAAAGGTCTTCTTTGTTATTTATTGAGCTTTAAAACAAATTGAGATGATTCGATATTAAACAAATTAACTACATTATTCAAAAGTGTAGGCTACAGTAATTTACAATAACACGGGAATAATAAACGGACCGCTCTCCCTCTCCTGACAGCCCGTCAGTATCATGCAGCTCCTGGATCCAGTAATGAGTGACCCGACAGTAAAACTAAACATATCTATAACTAGTTTAGGTAGTTTGAGAGGTAATTAAAATAGCTACGTGTGATATTCTAACCTGAAGTGTGTGTTGTGTCCGCTCACCGCTGCATGTGATCATGCAGAGCTGCGTGTTGACTCGTCAGCAGCA